CCGGAAATACAGAAACTAAGAAATTCCACGATCGAACTACCAAAAGAAAATAGAACGGACTAGAAATCGGAGCTTTAAATGATTCATTTTGGACTCAAAAGCAAGAACTTTGCGGTTCTTATAGATCTAATTCATTGAAACTCCATCCAATAAAACGGAAGAATTATAAATCTCCAAAATAATAGATAGAAATACCGCAAATAAGGCCATTGCGACACCCATCAAAGGAATAGTTCCCTACCCAGGAGCTACTTTGCCATATTCCGAATTTAATGATTTATTAAATCTCCTATCGCAGTTCGTCTTGGACCAGATCTAGAACTGTTTTCAACAGTTTGAAAATGCTATTGTATTCATTGATATCTGTTGACTTTGTACACCATTCCATTGTAAATAAATGATCCTATCATAGATCCATTGAGGTCTTCAAATTATATAAATATGATAAGCATTCAATTTCTTTGTTCTTCTTCGACCAACACATCTGATAGTCTTGGTTCGATGTCTAGTTCTAGTGTTACATCCAGAAGGAGGTACTATTGTGAGGAGATTGCGAACAACTTATTGTGGGAAGATTGCGAACAACTTATAAATTTACCTTGGTATATATCCATACGAATTTATTAGCATAATTGAAGCATGCAATCACTATAAATCGGGATCACCTCAAAACTGAAACATGCAACAACTACAAGAAGACATACTATAAAGTATATACATAAAAATGAAGGATAAAGCTTAGATGTAGTCTAAACCGAAACCCTAGACCATAAAAATAAGAAATAATATAACAAACAATCAGCAAAATCGATCAACAAATACTAAAATCAAGCAATTTAATGAAAAAAAGACTGGCCTTTATAGCAAAATCATATGAAATCGACAGTTTGGAGTCACCACTACGACCGATCTCTTAGAGCTACGAGAGAGTGAATAACAGTCAGATATTTTAGAGAAGGATTGGGTCGGGTTGGATAACGAATTAGGTCGGATCTATATTAAATTTAACCGGATGATTTTGGTATCGCCACGTGGCAACATCTGTATTTGTGTTTAATAGTATAAAACGTCAGGAGCTTTAATGCTCTAATACATGGCTAAATTAAACTATTAATGCTCTAATACATGGCTAAATTAAACTATTAATGATAGTAAAAGGGTAGATCAAACCCTTTAATTTACCGAAAAGAGAAAGGTGCTCTTGTATCAGGAAGAGAGGAACGGAGTTTAACACAATTATGTAAAGGAGTCGTTTTCACTTTCTTATGATTTGACCTTTAGTCAATCTTTGATGCCATATTGAACAGAGTACAATAACCAAAGACAGACAAAGTGCTTCAAGATTGTATATTACAGTAACAAAGTGCTTCAAGATTGTATATTACAGTAACAAAAGCTAAAAAGCCGTTGCAATAAAAAGAAAATGTCACGCACACAAACATCATCCTCTACTCTCATACTAGCTAAACCTAACCAAATTGTACAGGAAAACTATAGGAGTAATATATTAATATTCAAATTTTAACTGCAAAGATTTTATTTTTTTCTGCCCCATTTCCTCATCTTTATTTGAAGCATTGAAATAGCAGCCAAGAGATCCACGCACTGTGTAGGATTCAAGATATCCAACAAGCCCTTCAACGTCTTAAGCCTAACGCAATCAGCCATTTTCATCACCCTCTCTAAACCTACCATTAGCCCTTTCAACGCCACCTCTACTAGCCTATCCAACGGATTATTTGAGTCAGAGTCACTACTGCAACCACTTGTTCTCACTCTACTGCTATTTAACCTTGCCAATTCCACCATTTTTCTATCCCCCAACGCCACTTGTTGCCTTTCCATTTCTCTCTCTACTCTCTCTTCCTCTGCTCTAATTTTCGCCTTCAAAGCATCAATATTCTTCACCTGTTCATCACTCAACTCGGAATTAGCACCAACTAGGCGAAAGGCCATTGATGGCTTCCAGCCAGTGACCCATAAGTAAGCATTTTCCAAAGGGCTTAACCACACTGGATGGAAAAATGACAAGATCTCTTCATGTGCCGCTGCCCATTTGGCAGTATAGTAGTCTTTGTGATGTGCGGTCATTTTGTTTACCAAGGTTTCATGATCTTTGACGTGTGAAATTTCCTTTGGAACAATGAGAAGTAGCCTGAGGAACTCTTCAAGTTGACTCATCCAATTCTCGAAGTAATTGGAGAAGTTTTTCTGAACTTGGGTTGTCATATCTTTGTTAATTTTTCAATAATAGTAAACGAGAAAACTGAAACATTAGCGGTGAGAAATGTGTTGAACAAGAAAGAGAAGAATGTGATGATATATATAGAGCTCGAGGTGCCACGCTGCAATTAGAGTTGCATTCGTGGCTTGTGGTGCTGTGCATTCCATATGGTGAGATATTAAGTAGTATTTTTGACGCTTTGCAGAAGCTTAGAGGGTGGTGTTCTTTGAAGGAGTTGAAGAGGCGCGCAGATTTGGGTGGGGGTGAGGAAAATGAGAAAGCTGATTAATTGGGATGCATGAACAGTAGTAAGTGTAGGCAACCCCATTGGAACGTGTCAAGAAGAGAGCTTATTTGTGTTGAACACGTGGCGCTTCGATATGTTGCTTTAGTAACATCTGCAACATCTTCATCATCACAACCATCAATCACTACACAAGGGCAACCTAGCGCATGATATCAGATCAGGCGGATCTGTTTAAAGATGCAGAGCTAGCAAAGAATATGCATCTAAGCAAAGAAAATAAAGTAGGTGTCTACTTTGTTTTGTTTGGTTTCGATATTGCTATATTTCTGAGTGTACGAGGAGTCGTAAGTATTAATCGGATCTAGTTATATATGGACAAGGGAAAATGACACTGTATAGTCGCTTTTATAATTATAATAAAAAAATATATATTTGTTGTATATATACATTCTGTATGTTATATATAAAAGTTATACAAATTTTATATATTTTCTCGACTATTAAATGTAAATAGTTTCTGGCGCAAGGCTAGAAGTGATAATACCTGTTGAGGGAGAATGACACAGTTACCCACAAAAACAAAACTATTTACCCTTGTCTACCCATTTATTTTTCTACCTGTAAACTAATTATATTTCCTACCCATAGTAGTTTTTGTGGGAAATTTTTTCTTTATTCTCCAATTCTTTTTTATTTCTATGTTTTTTTTTTCTTTTCTCCTTTGCTTTTTTCTCGTTTTCTTCTTATTTTTTCTTTTTTCCTTTTCTAATTTTATTTAACTTCTTTTTTTTATATTCTTTTTCTCTTCATAATCTAATTTCATTTACTGTTTTCACTATTTTTTATTATTCTTTTTTTATACTATTACTAAAGAAAAATCAAATTGTGTACCAATTAAATGTAGCTAATACAACCAAAAAATATTAACTAACATATGATACCAGTATAGTATATAGTTATACCAACAGGGTATACAATTGTACGCAAAGAGTTAAAAAAAAATTTAATTCAATTATTAAACTGAAATAAAATCAGTTGTCAATAAAAATTTCAAAAAAGTCTAAAAGGATCTAATTGTAAGAGTATACCGCTACATTATATAGCATACTATAATTCTTTTCTTCTTTTTGCATTTTCAATTTGCCCCTCACGCCGGGTAAAAGCTTAAAGCAAATTAAAAGGGAAAAGGCAAGTAAATTTATGAGTAATAAGTATACTATTATAGTATATTGTATACTATTGCAGCATACTGTTACAGTATATTGCATATTATTACAATATACTATGACAATATATTATACTATAATAGTATACTGTTGTAGTATAATTATATACTCCTATAGTATATTGTATACTGTAGCGGTATACTGTTAGGTAACTGTGTTCTTCTTCAATTATTATAATATACCGTTGCAGTATATTGTAAACTACAATTGTATACTGTTGCAGTATAGCTATATACTCCTACAGCATATTGTATACCGTAGCGGTATACTATTCGGTAGCTGTGTTCTTCTTCGATTTTCAGCTGAAAATTTCGATCTCAATCACCTCAAAGCAGCTCCAAATGCAATTAAATTTCAGTATGAACTTCCAGAAGGTACTATAAGCATAACAGCACCCACTTTGAATCAAACAAGAAATCTTCAAAAATAAAATTGAGCTTCAAGCCCAACAATGGTGGATATTCAAATTCACATAAAAATTTAGATCTAGGAAACCAGAAAAACTCAAACTTTCTCTTCTGGCTAAGGATTCTTTTACCCCCTCTCTCCATTTTCTGCTCACAGCACTCGTCCTACAAATAAGTAGCCAAAAAATGACAAAATAAACACAACACGAAACAGAAACAAAGGGGTAGATTCAGAAGAAAAAGTAGAGGAAAAAGAATTAAGTAAATTAACTGAGCCAAATCCTTGAAACAAGTAAGCAGAGAGAAAATCGCAGAAATAACAAAGGGATTCAAAATTCAACACACACAGAAAGAAAAATTCAAGAAGAAGAAAGAAGGAGTCGAAGTTATGTAAGCTGTGGAACAGAAAAATAATAAAAATCTAACAAGTAGGAGAGAGAAAGAAGAAGATGAAAATAAAGTGTGGTCATCTTTCCGTCATATCATTCACACTTCGAATCAAATGCGAAGGCAAATAGCTGTGGGCCGGGTAAGTAGTCTTGGTTGCATAGGTAGGAAAAGTAAATAATTTAGGTTGGGATTTTTTCCTAACTATACCATATATGAAACCTTATTACCAAATATGTGTATAGTATGTATATTACCTGCCCAGTCCACAGTTTATCTACAATTTATATACCATTCGTTATTTAGGAAGAATCTGCCATTTTTAGCGCGCGAAAAATCAGCCACAGAATCTGGGATTGATTTATTCCACATTAAATTCAAAATTTGAAACGGAAACGAGATCTCGAAGCTGCGTAATTTTGAAACGGAAAGGAGATTTCTGCTCTTCATCTTCATCTTCATTTGTTCTTCCATATATTTTCCACCATTGATAGCCATTAAAAAGCTTGAAAGCTTTGAATTCAAATTTGGTTTTTCAAAAATCATTATTTGTTTGGATTGGGTGTTGTTGAAAATAATCGGGAATATGGTTTGGAGTTTATATCTCAATTTTTAGGGGTTTTAGTGAAGATTAGACTTGGTTTTGACTGAATTTCAGATTGAAACTCGAAGAAGAAGAAGAAGAGATATTTCCAGAAATTGTAGATAAATTGTAGAATTGTAGATAAATTGCAGATTGGGAAGACTAAAACTTCTACAAATCTTCTACAATTATGTCGAAAATGCCAATAGTGCTACAATTGAAATGGGAATTGGGATATTAAAATTCAATGTATCCAGTTTGTAGATATCTTGTAGATAAATTGTAGATTATTTGTATTCTGATTGTAGATGCATTGTTTTCTGTTTTCACAAATCCAAAACGATTAAAGCTTCTACAAAATCTTCTGCAAAAAAATAGTCTACAATTTATCTATAATTTTTCTAATTTTTCTACAATTTATCTACAAAAGGAGGTATGTTTTGTTTATGAAAATTAACTATAGATCTGAGTGCAGTTCTTGGAAGTAGAAGACAAAACTATAGAATGCACAGACCTGTGATGAAGTCATTCTTATTCAAAGGTGTAACTTACCATCATTATAAAAAATAAAATACACAAATTCGAATACCAATATTTGAATCTCAGCGAAAGCAAGCAAAATTAGGTAATTTGTTTCATTTGTTGTGATTTGCATTAGCCGGACACGACAAATAGGAAGAAGAAGCAAAGAAAGAAATTCATAACTTTTTTAAGTTACGGCTGAAGGGTCAGAAAATAATTGCACCCTTAATTATAGCGCCTAATATAAATGCACCCTTAATTATATTTCTAATTTGAATTATGGTATATAAATGATAATTTGGTATACTGAAATGTAATTAACACAAACCTTAAACATTGAGGGTAATAAGGTTTCATATATGGTATAGGAAGATAAAAATCCCATTTAAATCTGGATATTTAAAGGTAAATAGTTTGAGTTTAATGGGTACAAAGTAATATTTTCTCTTGTTTCTATTCGGAATACATACCTTGGCCTCTTCTGACATAGCGTTTTATGTCATGCATGTAGGGGTGTACATGGACCGGGTTGGTTCGATTTTTATCGAAACCAAACCAAACCAACTATATCGGTTTGGATTGGTTCGGTTTTGTCGGGTTTTCGGGTTTTCGGGTTTTTTGTTACTTACATATTATTTCAATCTTACTTTGTTAAATATTTGATATGTATACATCTATTTAGTAAAAATATAAAAAGTTGACAAACATATTATCAATTAAAATATTCTTATGCGAGAATTCCATTAGTTAACACATACTAATAATTATTTTTTTTAGTTGTCTGACAATAATTTTTCGTTGATATACACTTTCAGGTTATCCGAATTTAGTAATTAAACATAAAAACCAATATGATACCTAAATATTAATAACCACTTCACATTCGAAAAAAATATAAGAATTCATATGATATGAATATGTAAGAACAAAGAGATAGACGTATTTTAGTAACACTTGATAAGAAACTGATCATACAACCCATTATTTAAGGTCAATAAATATTGAGCACTTCATATTCTATTAAAATTTATATCCCGCAAGAGAATCCCAAATATTTCTAGATATTTTTTAAAGAAAATTTTATATAAAATCTTAAATAATATATATAAAAATTATATATTTATATGTCGGGTTGGTTCGGGTTTTTTTATTCAATACCAAACCAAATCAAACCAAACCGAGTCGGGTTTTTTAATCGGTTTGGTTTAACTTTTCGGTTTGGTGCGGTTTTTCGATTCGATTTGTACACCCCTACATGCATGTTGTCATCTCATTTTATTTTATTTTATTTTATCTTTAGTACCCGTTTTAGCTTCTCAACTTGCACGTATTTTTCTTTACATACCTTTTTCTGTTCAGGCGTACTTAATTTTACATACTTTAGGTATCTTTTTATATGACAAATACCCCCACAAGATCCGTGTTTAATTAATTACATTTAGTTGGCGGTGTTTGGCATGTGCCTGCTACACATAAAATTAAAAAATAGACCATTATTGGGGGCGGCTCTAAAGGCTAGGCCAGTGAAGCCATCGCCTTAAGCCTCACCATGAGTGGCTCGACTATATATAAGGCCAATAAAGTAATCGCTTGGGGTTCCAATTTTTCCTTAAAGATGTATTGTATATATATAAAAAATGTGTGTATTGTATATGTATTATTAGAAAAATGTGTGTACATTTAAATTTAAAGATTTTTTTGGAGCGAAAGTACAATAACGTTAATATGAGGATCGTTGTAATAATTAGAGAATGAAATAATTTTTAATGAATTGTTTTCTTACATGGGTAAAGTATCTTTTTTTTTTTTGCCTCATTTATATCCTAGCAATTAATACGGGCCCATATTATTATTTATAATTTACCTATTTATTCTCTCTTTTACTATTCTCATTCTCAATATTG